GATCGACGAAAGAAGGAAAGAAAAAAAAACGAGACGAGAAAAAGAGGAAAACAATCGGGTAGCAGCAGCATCAGCAGCAGCAAAAAAAATATGAAGCAAAATTGAAAATGCCAACGTTGTATATTAATCGCGGCGTTTTCGATGGAAAATTTCCGCTTTTAACGTTTCCTTTGAAAAATAAACGTTTTTGATCTGTTTGCAATATAGCTATTCATTTATAGGCGCTCCTTTGTTTAGATATTTAATATTATGTGGGTGGGTGTTTTTTTTTCTTCTTCTCTACTACCTCTATCTTGAACGTTTCGCATTTTGTAAATAGCAAGTTCTGTCTCTTAAAAAACAGTTTTTGATTTATGGTTCTTTTTTTAAATAACCGAGTCAGTGGTTTGTTTGATCGAACTGTTTACTATTTGGAGAAGAAAAAAAAAGTTTGTAGGTAATGTGCGAGTCTAATAAATTTTATTTTAAAATAGGCCTAGATTTCAGAGTAGATTATAGTTCAGAACTCTTGATTTTGATGTTGAATTGAAAGATTCACAGGCCAACTTAATTTTTATATAATATTTCATGTTGATTTCATAATTGATTTACGAAGTCTACTAATAAAATGTTAATTTAATTAAAAATTTGAGTTAACAAAATATACTTAGAGTAGCTTCTTAATTAATAAACTGAATGTAATCTGTTTCAATTAAGTAAATTATTTATGAGAATATATTTTAATTATGAAATTGATGCAAATAGTTTACTTAATTATAGTAAAAACTCAGTGAATGTCGTAGTCAGAAACTTAATTAAATTTACGTGGTTCAGATGCTTTATGGAATTGTAGCTATTGTGGGAAAATTATAACTTTTTATTGCAGAAAATACACTTTCATAAAATTAAAGTAGACATAAAATCTCTTTAATAGGATAATCTTGAGAAATAACGAATTGTTGTATTCCTAACTTAATAATAATTCTGGTATTATTATTGAACTTATAAATTAGAAGTGTCTGCAATGTATATTATCTTGTAGCATTTCAAAGTGAGTTGATCTTCTCATGAATTACAATCTTTCTTCTATCCTAGTTACATCAATATTTTCTTCTTGATGTAATACCGAGTAGGATCATTTTCAACTGTTCATAGAAAATATAACAGCTTCTTCAATCATTTATAATCTGAAACATTGGCTATTACTTAAAAAGTGTTATTCTCTTTAATATTATCCGATTTCTCATTCAGCATTTGAAAGACCACTTAAATATTTCAATCTACACAGAAATTATTCATTCTTACTGGTTTATCATAGAAACCGGACTAATTGAGTACTCATTTTTTAGAATTTATTTTTATTTTGCTTGGTTTTGAAATTTTAAATGCTGTATCAGCATTTCAAATTTGATACAATCAATCTAAGTAGTCACTTGTCAAGAATGCAAATTGTCATGACAATAAAATATTGAAGATGAAATATATTTTTAAAGATCACAAGTTTTTTTTTAGTTATTTAAATGATAATAGTTACGATTTTCAATATCACATTTTATAATTTTGCTGTCTTTATTTAAAACTGTTTGAAACCGGACTAATTGAGTACTCATTTTTTAGAATTTATTTTTATTTTGCTTGGTTTTGAAATTTTAAAACCGGACTATGCGAGGTATTGATGTACCAGCATTGTAAGTTTGTTTAAACAAATCTAAGTAGTCACTTGTCAAGAATGCAAATTGACATGACAATAAAATATTGAAGATGACATATTTTTGTAAAGATCACAAGTTTTTTTTAGTTATTTAAATAAAAATAGTTACGACTTTCAATATCACATTTTCTAATTTTGCTCAGTCTTTATTTAAAACTCTTTTAAACCGGACTACTTGAGTACGCATTTTTTAGAATTTATTTATATTTTGCTTGCTTTTTAAATTTTCAAACCGGACAATTGCTGTACCAGTATTGTAAGTTTGATTAAATTAATCAAAGTAGTCACTTGTCAAGAATGCAAGTTGACATGTCGATAAAATATTGAAGATTACATTTTTTTTGTAAAGATCACAAGTTGTTTGAGTTGTTTAGAAAATAGTTACGATTTTTTTTTCGAAATAACACCTCTGAAGTGGTACTTAAATAGATTACTTTCAGGAAGGGCGCTTTTAATAGAATACGCGCAGGGTGCAGATATAAATAATTCTTTGAGAACATATTTCTCTGTTATTGATTCCAAGAAAAACATATTTTGTTGTGTTATTAGGAAACGGATTATAACTTCCTTTCCGTGGTAGCAGTATATTAATTGGGTTTCTTTCCCAATTGATCATCAATCATGAGATGCTTGAGTCTTGTTTATACATTGATTGTGTGTAGTGTTTGAACAACAACAATAAAAAAAAACAAAGTGTAATTTGTTACATGTACTTAAAATTTAAAAAAAATGGAATGTGGTCAAAAAAACTACAATGTGTTTGCTCTAAAAAAGTGTAATTTGGTAAGTGGGAATATAATGATACTGCTGTGACTTCCTAAAAATTGTAAAGTGCCAGAGAGCACGATATAAACTAATGACTGTGCAAACGAAATTGCCCATTACGAACGTGTTTCATCATTTCTTTCTTTGTGCTTGCTCCTCAGCATCACAGAAGACGTTCCGGCACCGTAGTCGTATATTTTATTTGTGAGCGTAATTACCATACACATTTATATATATATAGACGGATTGGCTCGTGAATGGAACAGACTACTTCTATTGGTATATTTACAGCGTATAAATTACATTTAGTTTCGCCAACGAAGAGACTTCGATTTTATACAGATCCGTAATTTGCATCGCTCCTTTTCAAAAGAGCCCAATCGATTCAAGAATTTCAATACAGTTATTACTGATATTTAGCATAGTAAATTTAGTTCATTATGCAAATATAATATTAAATTATTTCTGTATCGAAAATCAAATCTTATTTTGCATAGATCACTTGTTCTTGTTTGTCTGGAAATCCTAACGCATGTAATAAGGACAAATATTATTTGAAAGGTTGAATTGAAAATGTTTAACTTTGTTGAAATTTTATAGCACATGACTTAAGTCGTGATTTAAAAGTACATACGACTCGAATTTTGCTCATTTGTTATTTAAAATATAGAGATGACGTAAGTACAATTCGAGGTTAGTCTAGGTATTATTGCGATATAGAAAAGATATATGCTTATACAATTTCAATAATTGATGTAAATTGATTCCTCATTAACTTAATTATTAAAACAAAATATTTTGTTATTATGATATTGTTGTCGCACTTACGAATAATATCACTTTAATTGTATGGTATGTAAGAATCTTGATGCAACTTTAGAGAACTTGTTGTGAGTCAGTCGAGTTTACTCGTTTACTGAATTTATTATGTACGACATGTCAAACACGCTATTTTAATTACTCCAGTTTTGTTGATTTGCACGTAGTATATAGAATTTTGTTTGACTTTCAACGGAACTTTATAAGAAAACAAATATTTTATTTTACATCTTAAGATTTGTGTTAGAATATTGTTACCATTTTCGTAGCTTTGTGCATATAGAAGATAACATGTGGAACTCAATTTAATGTAATGTAAATGAACGTTTTTTTTTTATCAGTGTTTCTCAACTTTTTTGTCGTACAATCCAACGACAGTTGTCATTTCGTGACCCATTCAAAATTCATCGCGAACCACTAATAGGTCACACAACTAGGGTTGCTTAGTTTCGTTATTTTTTTGATTCCCGGGACACGAGACAACTGTTTAAGGTTTTCCCGGGAATTATCGGGACTCGAGAAATTTAAAAAAATTCATTTCATTAAACATTTAGGAAATGAAATCATGGCTGATTTTGAACAACTAGAAAAATATCTTCTCCAACTGTACAAGTTTCTGGATTATGTAGATGTAGTCAAAATACGTTTACCCCTCCGTTGTCCAAGTATATCTAATAGTTCATTATACATATTTCTTCCTATATCAAAATCGATATTATTAACTTTTGTCATAAGAAAGTTTATAATTACGTCAGCTATCATATATCACATCAATGATTGTATTTGTTACATACGAGGTGTAAAAATTACATAAAATTTGAAGTTTGAACCTGTTTGAATATCTGGTGTAAACTTAACACTTCAACTAAATAATATAGTCTATTGTATTTTCATGCTACTATTTTACGTAACTAACGTTGGGAATGTAATTATTCATGAATTTTTTATTTGTTCTTAGAAATTTTAACTATATTCGCTACATAAAAAATATGTTTTAATGAATCATATTTAGATTTGAATGTGATCGTTAAATTTTCATTTCTTTTGAATAGAGATTGGCATTGATCATTTTTTTACTTTCAAATTGTATACAATGAATAATTGTATTGTTGCTATTGTTTTGGAAGTATGTTATTGGAATAAAAATCTTTTGTTGTGTGTAGAGGTGGATTTTGTTAATTGAAATCCAATTGAAATTAAAGTTTGGTTTATTTTTTATTTATTTAATTACGAAATTTATTGGTTGTCCTTTCTGCCAAATTTAGTTTATATCGAATTTTCGTTTATAATTTGATACTAAGAATAAAATATCTTTTTGTTTAAATTGTTCAATTTGCTTAGTAATTTCACTGTAATTTTGTTGAAATGAGTTGTCGTCATTGTATTTAAATTGTGTATTTTTTGGAAAAGTATTCCAACCCTATGGAAGTTAATAAACTAAATTTACATCAAGTAGGTAGGGTAATGAATTATTTACGGTCGGTTTGGGTTTGAAGTACTATTTTCGATGATTTGTATGTACCTAAGGCCTTGTGAAGGAATTTTTAATGTAAATAAACTAGCGATCAGTGTGTGCGTGTATAATAATACACAGATGTGATGCTAAATAAAATAGACGGCTAAAATGAGCTCCGAGCTGTGGAGAGGAAGGAGTTCGTGCGTTGACGTGCCTCGAGTTATGAATGTAAAATTTGTAATGTGAATATCTTCTTTTTTTGTTTCGCAGATATTCCTGATATACCAGAGAGTATTGGCGCGCTGCGCTCCCTGCAGGTGGCCGATTTCAGTTCGAACCCTATACCCAGGTTGCCGCCCACCTTCAGTCAATTGCGTTCCCTATCCGTCCTGGGGCTGAACGACATGTCGCTGACGTCCCTTCCGACGGACTTCGGCATGCTCGCAGCCCTTACATCGCTGGAGCTGAGAGAAAACTTGCTCAAGGAGTTGCCCGGCTCTATGGCATCACTCAGGAAACTAGAGCGCCTCGATCTAGGTGATAATGAAATCGAAGAACTGGTAGGACAATCATCCCTTAACGCGAAACGCATTAATCTAATCATAACTAATCCACTTTCTTTTTTGTTTTGGTGATGTTTGCAGCCAGCGCTAATCGGAGAGCTGCCTGCGTTGCAAGAGCTCTGGTTGGACCATAACAATCTGCAGCGATTGCCGTCAGAAATTGGTCGACTGAAGAACCTAACATGCCTGGATTTATCAGAGAACAGGTTGGAATCGCTTCCTGAGGAGATGTCCGGCCTGGAGAGTCTGACCGACCTGCACCTGTCGCAAAACGTGCTGGAAATGCTGCCCGACGGCATCGGCAGGCTGAGCAAACTCGCCATTCTGAAAGTGGACCAAAACAGATTAACTATTTTAAACTCTAACATAGGCTTTTGTACGAATCTGCAGGAACTGATACTGACTGAGAACTTCCTGAACGAGGTACCTAGGCAGATAGGTAAATTAGTGAAATTGACGAATTTAAATATAGACAGGAACACGCTGTCGACGATCCCCGAAGAAATCGGGAACCTTATCGAGCTCGGCGTGCTCAGCCTCCGGGACAATAGGCTCACGCTCTTGCCCGATACTATCGGCAACTGCAAAAGATTGCACGTCCTCGACGTATCCGGCAATCGGCTTCCCTATCTGCCGGTTACGCTCCTGCAGCTTGCCCTAAAAGCCGTCTGGCTGAGCGAGAATCAAGCGCAGTCCTTGCTCACCTTCCAGACGGACACCGATCCTGCCACCGGTACCACAGTATTAACTTGCTTCCTTTTGCCGCAGCAAGAGTATCAGCCGACGATAGGTAAGTGACCACCAGCAACAGCCTCACGCACCTTCTTCTCCTTACTCTGCTTGCTACTCTATTACTCTATTTTCTCCATCACCGACTTCCATATGTGTCAATCACTCATCCAATGTATATATCTTAATCACAATATGCGAATTCAGGCCGAAAACCGAAAAACAATAATCAGCAATTTGAGCTAGTATTGCGTGGAACAAATTATCAATGATGAAATGTTTTCATTTAATTAAAATTTATCAATCAATACAAAAAAAAACATATTTTTAGGTCTCAAGACTTCTTAAAAGTACGCTAATTAAATTCTAGAGAGTCAATAATGTAAATCTATAACTATTCAAGTTCAAACTTCTCTTAAGCACTTGTGTTTTTTATATTTTGATTTAATTATAGAAAAACGTTTGGAAAATTCAGCATTAGAAAACTGTTTTTTTCTGATTATTATCGGAGTACGCCTATCGCATACATCATCATCATCTGTATCATACGTGGAATGTTCTTTTCTTTTTGCACGTCGTTGTATTTGTCAGCTTCTGATGGGCGCTTGTATCGGTGTGATGTAACCCCTATCCTATCTAATGGGAGTGTGATGCGTTCAGATAATCCAGAGACTGACGATGACTGGGAGGAGAAGGAGGCGAGCCGCACTCATTCCGTCAAGTTCGTCGATTCGCAGGACCAGGATTGTCGCGAGGTGAGCACCTTTCTTCCAAAATGTCCTTTATGGTGGGGTTGGTTTACACAATGTTTCAATCGGCGACTATACCGAAGCGAGAGCTACTACATGCTGGCTCCCATAAACAATAACGATTAACACATTCACACTGACCATGCACAATCGTTGCACAAAAGACGTACTTACACAAGTTTTTTTTTTTATATAAATATTTATTATTAACACGAACACACAAGGTTTAATTAAGATCTCACTAGTGTTTAGTTTCTAATGAAATCTCAGGTTAGAGCATATAGGATAATCGATTGGAAATGTAAACTAAAATTATCTTTCATTCCAATGCTTCGTATAATTGCTTGATAAAGAACGAAAAAAAAACAAACAAAATTGCATGATCTTCTTTTTAATTTTCACAAAACACTTTTTCTTCTAATCTCTTCTCTTGCCAATTAATATTTATTATTTATTTTGTAATTAGTGGTTGTTCTGTAGGGGATTGGATAAAACTAGAAGTTGTGTAGTGTAGATTATTCAACTCTTCAATTTTAATTTATGTTATTTTTCTTTCACGTTTTTTTGTATCATTTTATTTATTGTAAGTAATAAATTATTTTCCATAGCATGTTTGTATCTTTTAATTTACTTTTGTGGGTTTTGTAATTTGTTTGTACATATATATACACATCTGTATAAATTTCCTCCTTTATTGTATATTTGATCCATTATCCTTTAAAAATGCTTTTTTTTAGTTTACATTTCCATTTTATTATTATTCTTAGTTTGTCTTTCGTCTTAATGGTAAGTATACTAAACATATTAGAATCAGTAGGGTTTATTATGCAAACTAATCACCGTTTAATTGTATATATTTAATTCTTTTTATAATTATTTGAAACAAAAACTAATTTGTTCATTTCCTTCTTACATAAAGTAAGAACTTCTCTTCTTTATACAAAGAATACTTTTTTGTAGATTATATAATAAATTTGGGCAGGTTTTCATCAAAGACATTTCATGTATTCTTTAGTTATTTACAACGATAATCCCATATTTGTGTAAATTATTTTTGAATGACATTTATATAAATGGGTTTATGGAATGGACAATGAATGGACCGATTCTTCATATTGCGGGTTTGAAATGTCAATGGGCGCAAGTTATTAGTATTTGTATTTACCAGCGGAGTAATTTATGTCTTAATGGTGGATGAATAGGCCGAGGTCAGGAAATGGACGTATGCAAATGAAATGCACGTTGATAAATTGATGGCAAGCAAAAAAAAAAGAAGGATAAATGAACTATTTTGACGAAACGCGGAATATAAATGGGGCGTCCTTTGTTTTAACTGTTCCACGACCAGGCAGTATAGAAAGGTACAGTGGAAAAACAAACGCAAAGAGGAGGAGAGGAACAGGAAAGTGCGCATAACTGTAACGCTGTTATCGGCATTCCTTCGAGATCTTTTAAAATGGGTTGAAATTATAGTCATTACGGGCGAATCACGGCAGTTCGGAAAATGTTGCTTTATTTACGAGAAATGAAACAGCTTGAACTGAATACGCTGATATCCTGCATAATTGGAGATACACACCATCATCATCAGTCTCTTCTAGGTGTCGTTCCAATTGCATTCGATTATCTAACATTTTTTTCTTTAAAATGTTTATTCCAAGTGTTTTCCCGTTGATTTTAACTGCAGTTTTTTTTTGTATATTTCGACAAATTTATAATGTTCAAATTAGGATTTGCCTTCTTTTTGTTACATATCCGTTATAAATTATGTTTGTATATTGATTTGATTTGCATACAAACGTAACGAACCAATTAAAATGTACGGAAATGCAAATGGGATGTTATTAATTTACGTACACAGCACGATTTGTTTGTGAATTTGGAACGGAAATCGTGGTTAATTTTTAAATCGTAAAATGATTATTATTACAACTTCATCGTTTTGGTGAAATCGCACGCATGATTAATTTGAACGTTTTATTTTATTAACAGACTTTTTCAACAATTTAATTTAATTAAAGGAAATATAATAACTAAAATGTCTAAACAAATATTTTTTGTATGAAAAAAAAAATGAAACTAAAATTTATTAGGACCAAATAAATAATTTGATATGTTATTGTTCATATTAATTTATGTAAATACGTTAATTTTGTGGGACAATATGCGTTATTGTTATTAATAATGTTTATTACAATTTATAACGAAAATTAATTGGTTGCCGTGGATAATATTTGAATAGTTATTTGATGATTCACAGCTTGCAACTGTTAGGCAACATGTGTTTTGTATAGAACTAGGAAAATTGAAGAAATATTATTTATTGGGACAACTGCACAGAGATCTATCTGTTCCGTTATTAATGCACGTTTGTAAATGAGAAGAAAAAAAAGTGAAATTTATGTTTGTGGTTTGCTAAGTGATACACTATACGTGCCTCTGAGAGTGGCGTGCAATTGCAATTAATTAGTTAATTAGACGTGGAGTGCATGTAGGAAGGGTAGAGGTGGAGAAGGACGGGATAGATTGTAGTTGGTGGTGGGTGCGTGTACGGAGCCGGAGAACCAGGGGTTCTTCGGGCCAGAGGTCAAGTGGTCGACCATTGTGAACTAATTCGAGATTTTCCGCTCGTCTCTCTCTTTCTTTTTGTTTTCGGTCACTTTCGAACAAGCAGACACCGTTCGTCCGGCAGAACACGCCGCATCCGCGTGAGCTCAAGGCGAAAGCTCACAAGCTCTTTTCCAAGGGTCAGAATTCGCTGGAGGAGAGCGGCGAGCTGCAGGCCACCACGGAAACCGTTCCAATCATCGACCAGCAGCCGCCGGAGGTCGTCGCCGCAGCCGTTGCTACCGTCCCGGCTCCGGTCCCGCCGCCCCCGCTGTCCACAACCATCGACAACGGCAACGAGGAGAGCAGCGAACCGAGCCTCGAAGATGACACTGATGATGTAAGTCAATTTTTTTTTAAATGTTTTTTTACGATAAATCAAAAGCCGGCTACTCACTAAGCGATACTTGTATTAATCATAATCACAAATTACTTCAAAAGTAGTATCTCGTACTGAGTAACCGGCTTAATCCACATTCGGTTCACTTGAACTTAACATCGACTTCATTGTATATCGGTGTTAATCGAGTACTAATCCATCATAAACAATATCCAATCATGAACACGTCTTAGGTCGTGTATGCGACCTCAGCCGTATATTTATGTGTATACGAGATGCATGGAAGATAGATGAGAGAGATGTGTGTGTGTACTTAGGATTTGGCGAGGAAACGGGTCGGATTTGCGACCGGCCTTTCGGAGATCGAAGAATCGGATGTGGCGTCGCGACCCGTGCGCCTTCACCGTCGCGACACCCCGCATCATCTGAAGAACAAGCGCATCAACGCGGCCACGATTGATAAAGACAAGGTGGCTTCGATCATTGCACAGGTCTAGAAGAACAAAACACAACTCCGTATTTATAAGTATATATATGTATATGTGTGTAAATACTCTACATGTGAATTCGTGTAATACCTGAAATGAATGCTCAAAACTAATAAATTGTCCTAAGTTCAATACTCAACTGTTGCGCATTTTATATTATGTACAACTAGTTATGAGAATCAAAACTTTTCAATAGCCGTTGAGCATTTTCAAATAATCAATCCTGTTAATTCACAGTATGCCTCATCCCTCATCCAAAGCACCTGAAGAATTTGTAACAAGTCCTCTCTACTTCTTTTCTGAATCAATATATTCAATTGCTGGTGTCAACCACATTAATAAGTACAATGATGATTTTTATCTCTAATGATCAATATTCCGTATTCTAAAGACATCCATCCACTGTACCTGAAGATTCTATAATCAATCTATCACTTAATAGAACCAAATTTATGTTACGTTTTTTTTTTAATTTTATTGGATGTTTATAGATGTTCTCCAGGTACAAATTTCCGCATCTTGGTCTTTGATATTTCACTTGAAATCTGTGCTACAGTCTTATGTATCAATTCCTGGAGGCCTGTACTTGTCTTCTATCCATTAGTTTTATTGGCGTAACACCAGAAATTGTTTTAACGGTGTTTCACCATAAACTCACTACACCTATAATTATTGCATTCTCTTAAAGTTGCCAATCCAACCTAAACCAACTAATCTTTACCTAGCTTAAATCATAATCTCTATATTTTCTTACATATTGATAAGAATGTAATTCAAGCTCAATTCGAAATAAGTTTTGCGCATTTCTTGTATTATCCAATTTCGCAAACTGAGTTCAATGCTTTTGCATACATATACATAATTGTTACTTTTTCTTTGTTTGTTTGTTTTCTTATTTATATTAATTTTGTTCTTGTATATTTTTTTCACGTTAATTACATCTGCGGCGCTCGGATGTATCGATTCGAGCGCCCTTTGTTTCGTCTTCGCTGTTGCCTTTTCCGCTCCCTTTCTCTGCGCGCTCTCTGCAATAGCCGATTAATTAGCGTTCCGGTTTCGGATAATGGGCACCTCCACCACCTAACCGATTTCCAACTGTCCCATTTATCCACCTCCTCCTTCTACTCCTCTCTTACCATCAACTCCTGCTGCATTATTCCGTCCGACGTGATCTTATCATCGTCGGCCTAATCGCTTATCGCGCGCTATTTGCCGTATTATTCACGAGTATTTCGAAACTATCCACGTTCGTTGTTTGCTTTATTTCTCTGCTCGTTCGCGCCCTACAAACTGCCTGCTGCAGCAGCGCGAACGGCCTTTCTCCGTTCGCAGAGAGGCAAAATGCATATTTTACCGTTCCGAAGAGAGGAAGGCGTTTTCTCTCCTCGACGACGCAAATTACAATAATAGCTGCGGCTAGAGTAGAGAGAGGTCCCAGTTCTAGCGTTCCTTTTTTTTTTGTTTGTTTATTCTTCCGTCGTTTTGAGGAGTACGAGAAATATGATTTCGATTCGTATCTAGTCCGACGTAATGGTATTAAAGCACGTGACTCTGCGGGATTTGCGTTATTCCGCTACACACAAATCATTCGGGAAGCTCAGATCTTAGATAATGCGAAGCCCCGGTCCCATATTTGTTTGATCTTATTTTTTTTTAATGTTTCAATCCTCGACGTATCCACGGATTTCCGCAGTCTCTATCAACGACGATACATGCATTAAGCTCGCTCCAATTACAATTGATTGGTTATTAATTGACTTTAATCATGAATGAAAATAATTTATCTATCGATAATTTTATATTCACGAAAATATAAATAGATTTATAATAATAGAAGATTCGAAATGACAAAAAATGTATTAGTCCCAAGACTTATCGAATATAACACCTATAAATGCGTGTTTCTTGCATTGACGTTACTTTGCTTTCTAGAAATTTAAATAATTGGAAATACTACAAGTCTTTTTCTGCTGTCTATTTTTCAGCCTTGAACGTTAACACTGTCGATAATTGCGCAGGGCAATGTTTGAAGCTATATATAAATTTAGAAATTTGCATAAACCTATACACTTTAATTTAAAGAAATAAATTATTTCTTACACATTTGATCTTAAAATAATATAAAATAATAATATTATTGATTTCATCAATGATTTACTTCAAAACTTAAGTAATATGTATTGTGATAATTTTATGAATGATCCTACAAATGATGCTAATACTACTACTATTTCTATGATGTAATTCATAATATTTTTTCACCATACTTAAAGAAGTAATGCTGTAACGCAATAACAAAAAAAAATGGTCTATAAAATGTGGAATATTTAAAATTTAAAATGTTCGTCCTTTCACCGCACGTTGCGAAACAAAACTTTATTATTTTCCGTCCTTCAAGAGAAAACTTTTACGAAGGCAATTTTACATTGATCTTCATTTCCCTCCCATTTAAAGTTCGCTGGCGTAGGGTTTGAAAAAGAAAGAAGAAGCTGAAACCTCTCGGAAAATTACCTTCCATTTATATATATTTTTTTTATAAACTTTTCCCGCAACAATGTATTTTCCTTGCAAGAAAGTGTATCGTGTTTCATTCTATTTATAAATTGCGTAAAACACGTCTCGATTGACTTTTGTAAAGGTGATGTCATCGCCGACTTTAGAAACTGTTTACTATATAGGAGCGAAAATTAGCTCCTCTACGATTTCCATGTACGCCCATACATTTTTTGTTTATTTCAATTCACACAAGAATACAACCTGTTACCATGTATTTTGGGAACATAAGATAACTTTTTATCTATTATAAATTCGCAGAGAGTTTCAACAAACATCTATTTATGTTTGTAAGCGGAAAGGCAACAGTTGTTTTTGTTTGTATGCAATTTTGTATTATATTATTTTACATTATAATTCGAGAGCTTCGTTTGTTTCATTATTTACGAGTAGGAGGATAATGCGAGTAGTGATGTGGGGTTGCTTAGATGAGCGGTTCCGAGCTTTTTCTTTAGCGATCTCCTTTAATCGGTAGTTGATAGTAACAATTATTTTGTTTGCTGTGCGAGTTTCTTTCTTTCTATTTGTTGTTTGCTGTTGTTTATGTTGTCTACTAATTGTCTGCATATTGAGTAATTCGACTGTTTCCTCAGGCCATGAAACGCAAGGAGGAGGACAGCGACAGGATGAGCACCACGACGACTACGCCGACGGAATCGCTCGGAGATCGCAGCCAAGGTGAGTGCAAGTACCTTTCTTACGAGCGTGGGCGTACTCTAAGTAAGTACGCGCCGTGTGCGCGAGTACTAGGTGGTAGGAGATTAAGCTTAGTTTGTTCTGAATTAGTACTTGATAGTCAGGCCGTGGGAGCAGAACGTCGCGCGCGGAATCTGCGTCCGCACCAAAAATGTTCTTATCTTATCGTCGCGACCCAGTGATCAATTTTTGTTGTTTCTCACCTGCAATTAGTTCGGTTAATTGCTAAATGCTAACGCCGCGCAACCATGAGCACTTTACCAAAGATTCGGATTAAATCGCGTGGCGGTTCTGTGGTGAACATCCGCGCAGGTACCCTTCCCAGGTCCAAAGCTTCCGTGGTCAAATTTTCCTCCCGCAATCCTGCACCATCCCCACTTTCAGCACGCCGAAAGCGAACGCAAATCCTAAGATACACAGGTCAGTAACGCAATTAAACTGGAGATTCAATTCAACTATTTGTGTAATACATACATTCTTCGTCTCGAATCGGTGCTCATTTTGTTTTGGATCCTATTGTCAAGGTGGCTTGAGTCACCTACAAACCACGCATAATATTAATATTTTGCTAAAGTAGAAATATTAACTAAATCCGTTTAAAAGCATTTTAAAACACACGAAATAATTTGACTTTAATTCGGATCTTATGCAACATCAAGCAGACAGAGAACAATTCCAAGAGGAACAAACTAATCTGTGTTCAATTGAATCAGGCGTTCACATGGCAACGTATTGTATTTCACATCCATACGGCAGATATTCCAATGTCATACAAATATTTGCTGATTGTGCTGCAATATTATCAAATTCAATAGATTTGTCACAACGATGAATAAATAGCACCAAATCAGCTTTAATTAATAATGCAATATTCACTTTTTTTTAATTAGATTAAAGTCTTTTAATTAGTTTTAAAAGCAAGCGCATGCATTTAATTAACATATTTAGATAGACCCAAGAACTTTCAACTAAAAGCAAATTATTATAATGGAAACATAATTGGATTTAAATTTACTGTGCGGAAGAGCGAGCGCATGGAATATCGAAACCATATAGCAAGAATTAAGCATCCAATAATGTAACTTCAAGAATAAATTCAGTTTAAACCAGTTAAGAAGTCAACTATTGGGAATTAGGTTCAGAACTCTTGAAGTATTTAAATTCATTATTCAATTTTAACTACTTACTGAAATAATCTTCTAATAATGATTTGTAGTTAAAAAAAAAATTGTCATTTTTTTTAATTAAAAATGAGTAGTATTTAACTACAAACAGGGTTTTTTTTAATGAACGCATTAATTATTTCGAGATCATGTAAATAGTCTAAGTGCATTGCACTTCGAAGCCTTTCAGTGCTCGTATCGTATTTGAAAAATAGATTTTAAATTATCTTCTATTTATTCGAACTTTAATATTTTTTTCTTGGTATTTGATCTATTTGTTTTTTTTTTACGAAATTATTTGTCATTGATGATGCAAAAAGTTAACAAATAAATGTATTGTATTCATGGCATTTAAATGCACAAGTGCATTCGAATAATACTATTGTGTTTCGATATTGATAATTAAAATGTCATGAAATCTTTTATTTCGTGTCCTCATCAAAAACACTTTCACTAATAAGCAATTTATTATTCATATGGTACCAATACAACGTTTATGCAATAGCCATGCTTACATCTTTAAACTGTTAAGTCTTCTCTTTTTGTTTTGTTTCGACTCGACTCTAGATTAGCTTTCACTTAATACAAATAAAGAAGTATAAAATAACATTATGTACGATTTTTTTTGAATGCTAACCAATAATGATTTAACATTTATGTTTACTTATAAATTGGATCACGATTGAAAATGAACGGAATGTACCGTTATTATGTGAAACAACTTCTCTATGTAAACGCAAACTTCTATTTACTTTAATTTTAGTAAATGTTGTGTTAAAATGTTACTGGAATTATTTGAAATAATATTTTCTTAAGTTTTAGGAGAATTTTATTTAGAAGATACGTCGAAGATTTAATTACAATTTGGACACTATCATTGGAGAGTAGTGTGACTTTTTCCTTAAAACTTTTGATTCATAAATTTGTAAATAGTGATATACATTAAACATTATCTGTCTGTTCGCATAAACGTTTTTTTTTGTTTTATTCTTTAGTCATATTTATGCTTGTATCGATTGATTATCAGTAATAAATTATGCTTTGATATTCTTTACTAATAATGAGCAAGTACACTAATTCAGAATAAAGTATGCTATAAATGAAAAATATTAGTGATAAAATGGATATATCTATCTATTCTTATCATTTAGTATGTAATAAAATATGAGTATGCTTTTTATATTCATTTAATATGAATTTCTTTTGCAGTTGGTGAATCGGATGCCACCGTCGAATTGAGAGAGGAGAAATACGAGATACATATCGAGAGGTCTCGGGCCGGATTAGGGTTGTCTATAGCAGGTGGAAGAGGTTCGACACCCTTCAAGGGCGACGATGAGGGTATCTTTATATCGAGGGTGACGGACGGTGGGCCGGCTGATCTGGCCGGTCTGAGGGTTGGAGATAAGGTGTTGACCGTGAATGGGGAGAACGTGCAGGAGGTGAGCCACTACGATGCCGTTGAAATCTTGAAGGCCTCCGGGTCGATTCTGATCTTGGAGGTATGTCGCGAGGTGACGCGCATCGTGCGCGATAACGAGCTGCGTGGCGAAGTGCTGGTGGTACCTGAGCCGCATAAGCATCCGATACCATCGCCGCTGCCGCCCATCGAAGATGATGTGGCTATGCAGAAGGTGCCCATCCACACCACGCTGATCAGAGACTCGAGAGGCTTCGGCTTTAGCATAGCTGGTGGAAAGGGCTCGCCCGCGTACAAAGGGTCTTCAGATGCCATATACATATCCAGGATCACAGAAGGCGGAGTGGCTCACAGCAATGGTAAACTGTCGGTCGGGGATAAGGTGACCTCTATTAACGGGGTGGACCTGAGCGGGGCCACCCATGATCAAGCGGTCGGTATGCTCACGGGTCTGGAGCGCTTTGTGCGACTCGTAGTGGAGCGTGACGTGCCGATCTCTAAGGACGGCGGTAGCCCCGTTCCATCCCCCGGCCCTCAGCAATCCCCCAGGATGTACGGCCTCCCCAAACCATATTCCGGTCTATATTCGCCGAACAGCTACATGGCCAATCGGTATACCGGGTACAGGAGATCCTTGGAACCGGAGAAGAAGGTAATGAAAATCAACAGTTTAATCATGTTCTAGTGATATTAATTATCATTTTTTTGTTTGTTCAGGTGGAGACGCCGGAAATGGAACACTCGAAAACGAACGGCGTGGACCAAGTGCCGAAAGCAGCGGAGCGTCCGCAACCGGCTCCCAGAAAAGCTCTGACCTCGCAAAGCGAGTCCGCCCCTAAAGCACCTTCGCCCATACCCCTAGCCCAATCGCCGAACAAGCTCGAGAAGCAAGAACCTATCGCCGTCGCCGCCACCACCGCCGCTCCGATCAACAACAACAACAACAGTCACAAACCGGTGACGCCGACGTCATCGCTGGAGGGAGACGATGCTCAGGTACTACCGAAGCCCATCACGAACGAGGATTTCCAGGCAATGATCCCCGCCCACTTCCTGAAACACACGAATGCCCAAAACCATTCCCCCGGTGAGTCCTGTCCCCAAGTCCCGTCCCCTACCGATGCGCACATACAGAACGTCACTGTGACGATAAGGAAGCCGGAGCAGGCGATTGAGTTCCCGCCCGCCCCCACCGGACCCGGACGTGTTACAGAGACCATAACCAAGAGCACATTTACGGAAACGGTGGTAACGCGGATCACCGATAATAAGCTGGTCACGCCCCTGATTATCGAGGTATGAAGGACGGGATGGATGGTAGAGCCCCAATCAATTTATATTTCCACCCAAACACACACACTCACTCACCCACTTTAAATGCATGCTTAACCTTAGGTTACAGACACTCACAACCTCTTTACAGTATTTTTATTTGCATTAACCCACCGAGTAGTTTTATTATTTGACTAATTTTAGATGGAGTAGTTAGTAAGCACTTGCGGGGATTTGCGTTCAGGTGCTAAACAGATAGGTGAAAATTACAAATCAATATCAGACCATTTAACTCAACTCGAAATAATATGCATTATACCATATTCCATACAATATAGATCTAATAATTACTTGTAACAACAAAAAAAATCTCAAAACAGTATTCATAGATTTAGATATATAGTACAAACGATTATTATATCAAACAAAATTAATTTTTACGTTGAAATAGTTAGTTAATTAATCAAAATCTAAATATTATTAACTTTTTTAAACATGATTCTAAATATCAAATTTGGATTTAAAGAGAAGAGTACATATGATTAGATTGGTTTAAAAGATTTGTGTACTTAACGTAATTACGTTTAACATTCCAATAGTTGTTTATTTACTTACCAGATTGCTATCGATAAGGATAACATGGATTATAAAATAATGTTTGAATCAAAATACATTAGAATTTGCTATTACTTAATTTTATTATTGCGTAGATGAATAATATATAATGTAGTAATAATAATAGAATTAGGATAGGTTCAAAGAATAGTACATCGAATTATTAATTATTTATTGAGTGAGCAGATTATGATTGATAAAAAAAAATAAAATTATCGATTGAATTCGAACTGGAAGAAAGTAAAAAAAATAAATAAAATTTGTATTTTTAAGAAAATTACGTTTAACATTTTAATATTTTATTTATTTACTGTACTGATTATGATTGATAACGATATCTTGGATTAAGTTAGTTAGAAAAAAATATTTTAATTTTGTTGATTGAATCCAAATATTATAAATTTTTAATTAAAAAATAACTATTTTGAGGATGTCAGTGGGCGTTTAGATGAAGATGAAGACAAAAACAACTGTGGGCGTCTTCTATAAAAGGGAAAAGAAACAAATGAAGATCGTAAATGGGCGTTATATACGACCATTGCCGTTTGATTTGTGTTCCAAACTTTTGCAATTTACCGATTAGGGAATTTGCTGAGGTGATATTTCGTTGGAATTCGTTAATGTAGCGTAGGGAATATTAACAATGTCCAATTTTCGATGCGTGGAATAATGCAACATCAAGGTTGGAACTACATTTTTTTTTGTTTGTTGCTGTTCTCCAATTTACTATAATTTTCTTACTTTACAACAGTAGCACATTTCCCACGCTCAAATCCATCGCATTCGCTCGATGTTTTACTCAATATTTATACATTACCTTTGTTTCGCCTTTAAATTGCTATGAAAATGTATATTTTATCGTCGCAAACTTCGATTTTCAAGTATTTCCATTATTCAAATCACTTTTTTTCAAGAAATCTTTATGGAAACGACTGAAATGAAAATATTAATTTACAAAAACAAAACATATTTATTTTTTACATATACGTTTTCATATATTGATTACTTAGATATTATCTGTGTAGGTTTAATAGATTTTACTTTAATTAAATAGTTATTAGCAAACATTCTCATTTACTTAAGTATTTATTTCATACTTGCTTAATTACCTAAGCAGTTTTAAACGACTTTTTTAGGACTAGTTGATGACAATCTTAAAATTAGTTGAAACATGTAAAGTAATAGAACTTGAAATAAGCGTGACCCACATATGCGAATCTTCAAATGACGCGTGATACTTCAATGGTAACTAATACTACATTCATTGTATGATTCATTACTAAAATAATTGAGTCATTAATATTTTTTTTTGCATGTTTCATTACCCATCAATATTAATTCATCAAGGCTATGCTTCATCAAACTAATTAAAAAATCAACGTTAAATCCAAAGAACATTTCCTTGAAAAAGATTTATAAAAAAATACACGCCTTTATACATTTCTCATAGCTTTGTATTTATTTTAATTGTTTTCGTTTTTAATTAAAAGCTTTCTAATCGTTTTTTTTTAATTGAGTTAAGATAAATAGTTTAGTTTTGATTAGAAATTATAATTGTTTTAATTAATTGAAATGATTTGTTTAAAAAAAATAGTTTTCATCGATTTTTGCTTTTCATATATTGTTTTGTTGTATTTTGTTTTCATGTTCTTTTAATATTTAATACTGATTATTAACATTAAAACTCATCATTAAAATTTTAAAAAACTAATGGTCTAATAAACTGTACAAAGGTGTAAACATCAACATTTTTCTTTTTAATTAGGAATCGAGTGGCCTCGATATGAGACTTCTATGTATAAAGTAACCCAATTTATCAGCATTATCATGGGGCGATAACATATTTGTGATATTGATTTTAATGATTATGATCGTTCCTTGTTTACATTGTGAATAACCCAACGGGAACGGGAATAGGAAACAAAATATATGAATTGAAAAGACATCACCACATTTGTGTTTGTTTGTTTTGTTTATTTGCACGGCTTACTACACACCTAACGATTACTTTTTATATTCTTTCTAGTGATTTGGTTTTTGGTTGGTATGTTTTTATTAATAATTTTTCGTTTCTAAACTTTTCAAAACAATAACACTTGTATTAGATTTGTTTTGGGGCCTCATCCACAGTGCAGCGAAGACACGCAGGTAACAGGATCTGACAATCTCGGTTTTCCTCCTTACAATAATTATTATATACTACTGTCCTTGATTTCCGCTTAATCTCCTTAATTTTTACACTTTTAGAGTATTTTATTACATATTTTTATTTATTATATTTACATATATAGTAATAATCACCGAACCGAACTGGAATATCTTTTGTTTCATTAGAAATTTACTTTTCATTTGGATATATTTTTTTAGTTGGTTGTTTCCTTTTCCATCACATTCATTGAAAGTATCACATCGGATTTGTCCTAAGCTAATTAATATTAATAATAATAAATGCTTCGATGCGAAAAGGATGTAAAATTGCTGGGGTTTCGCACCTTTTTAATTTTTTGTAAGAGACTAAGATATGAGATTTAGATATGATACTTTTTTGTATTGCGATTGTTAAAGGAAAACGTTGGTGGGTAATGTTTACGTTTGTTCATTTTCTTCGGATCGATTTCTCTTCCACTTGTCCTTTCCTTCTGTGCAGGATGTCATCTTGAGCAAGGCCGAGGGATCGCTGGGATTCAGTATTATTGGAGGCACCGATCATTCCAGTATTCCATTCGGTACCAAAGAACCGGGCATTTTCATATCCCACGTGAGTTATCGTATACTGTTAATGATGATGTTGTGGTCTTAATAAGGTGCGGTTTGCAGATGGTGCTCGGTGGAACAGCTGCAAGATGCGGTAAGCTGAGAGTCGGCGATAGAATCCTGAAGGTCAACGGCACCGATGTCACGCAGGCCACGCACCAGGAGGCAGTGATGGAACTGCTGCGACCTGGAGATCAGATTACATTGAATATCAGGCACGATCCTCTACCAGAAGGATACCAGGTATTGTTCATTTCCATCCTCTTTTTTATGGTATTCATTTTGTGTCGTTTTCGTAAAACCACTAATTTCATGGACATGCAAATTTCAGCTGAAACTAAAGAGAATATAATGAATTAATTTGCATATTTTTGCGTCCGAAGGTAGTCGCTTCCTAGCACTACATTAAAACTATAAAACAAGTTCATTAGTATACGCCTCAGTTTCTTAGAAACTTTGTATGTAAACAGAAAATGCATTAATAGTAAATTTATGTATTTACCTAATATTTTACTAACTTTATCAATTAATTACAACATCTATACATTTACTAAAAATATTTTTTTTATTATGAACTAAATTTTATATGTTCAAACATATTTAAATACTATAATGACTATCTTACATACTACTGTACTTTGCTTATTGCTAAAAAGATATTTTTAAATTGGTATTATTCACTTATTAGTAATAATTTACATGGAAACGGTTGCTTGAAATTAAGATTAAAAGAAAAAAAGTAAGTCTTTTAAGTACATTTTGTACATTATTTGTCTTTTTGTTTCCAAGCAACTGGAGATTAAACATGTAGACACGACCGTGAGTAACAAAGTTTTAATTGGGATATTTTATGTGTTGTTCTGTTAATTAATAATTTCGATGATAATCCGCAGGAGTTGGTTATCGTGAAAGCGGACAACGAGAAGCTCGGTATGCACATCAAGGGTGGATTGCAAGGACAACGCGGTAATCCGCTCGATCGGTCCGACGAGGGCGTCTTCATATCTAAGATCAATTCGGTGGGAGCCGCGCGAAGAGATGGAAGGTTGAAGACAGGCATGAGGCTGCTCGAAGTCAACGGGAAGTCTCTGCTCGGCGCCACCCATCAGGAGGCGGTGAACACTCTAAGAATGTGTGGCGATACCATTCATATGGTAGTCTGCAAAGGGTATGATAAGATCGACGTGGACAGAGCCGTAGCGGAAGGTCGTTTGGTGAGAGGCGGATCCGTGAGCAGCAGATCTCAAAGCGTTAGCTCGCTGGATATGCCAGATGAAGATTCACAGCAGGTATGTGCATTTGATATATGATATATATACGAGGTGTTGATGTACTTTGTTTTTTGTGCGTATCAGGAGCAACGTATGAAATCTGAGCTCGTGCAGTTCGAGAAAGAGGAAGCGGAGAAACGGTTGAGAGTGCAGGAGGATTTCGAGGATATGTCACTGGTTGAAGCAAAGCCGACGACACCCGCCGATAAAGTTCTGGATGTGGTGAGAGCTGTAGAGACTTTGGCCCAAGGACCGGACGCGGCCGTTCCGCCCAAATCGCCAGGTGGTCCAAATTCCGAACTTAAAACTACAACAATTGTGATGAGTAAACACACCTTAGCACCACAACTAACTACGGTAAGTTTTCATCATTAGCAGCTAAAGCTGTGGCTATTTCATTGTCGAGAATGTCGATGCCTCTCCGCTATTTCAATCCATTCATTCGTCATTGAATTTACTTATATTCTTAATAATTTCTGCATTCAATTAATTTTGATCTATATTGAAATATGATTAACTTATCAAAATTTAATAGTAATAAAAGATGATTTTTATATAGAATTGTAGAATTATATTACAAAAGTATAGAAAAAATTATAAAATTACTTTTTAAATACTCTAAATTAAATATATTTAATTAATTTAAGAGTATTAATTTATAGTTTGGAAGTAGAAAATTGTCAGTGTTGTTGCAAGTAATTGTTACTTGGCGAGTATCGCGTTATTGATATATTCAGTTGAAAAAAGAGAATTCATAACTCTTTTTCTTTCATATAAGTAATTTCATATATAAGCAGAAGAAAATTCAAGCACTTTTCAAGAAATATTGTATAAAAATGCATTATTCCAATTGAATAATTACATTTTCTATTGTTGCATTCACATGTTAGTGTGTGCATCAACGTTTTGGTTAGTTGTAATTGACAATGAGAAGTAATTTTCAATGCTTTTAAATTCAATGCAGATGAATGGATTTAAATGTTGTTATTATTTGTATTTTTTTACATGTTTTGTGTGTATTATTTTCTCTTTGTGTTATTTTTTTTTTGCAAATAGGTGTCTGTCATTGTTCTCTAATTATAGAGCAGGTCTGTGTTCCTCCCATCAATCGCTTCCTTTATTTATTTATTTTTTACTATCGCACACATTCTGTTCGCACAAAGTCCTGTACGCTATTTATTTTTTTTTTAAGTAAATAAACTTTTTACTTATTTCTTTGATCTTACCCAAAATATGATTTGCCATTTATTTATTTACATATATAGTGTTATTATTGGCGGAGCGCGCGCGAGCATGATTGTTGTCTTGTGGTAGATCTTAGTGAAGAAATTCACAAAAAAATACATACACACATTTTTAATAACGCAGTACGATTCTTGCAGAATGAAGAGAGAACTTCCCCATAACAATTATTTCAGAGCGAGGTACTTTTGTAATAGTGGATAAGCTATATAAACTAAGAAGAGAAACTTTTCGGAAAATTTATTATATAAATATATACACACACACACAAATCTATATATATATGAAATATCTTTGTTTCGTCGTAGTTGCCAAATGGAAATTAACATTAATTCTATATGTAGTTAATTATTTTCGTTGTTGTCATATCATCTATATCTATATATATATTATATATTGAATATTTTATCAGTATGTACTGCCAATGTTTGTCTAATATTTAGGAGAATTATGTGCGAATCGATGTTTTCGTTTCAATTTCTTGTTAATTTCAATGTTAAGTTTTGTATGATGGCGTATATATTATATATACACATATATATCTTAGTTATGTAACTTTTAAAGAGCTTAAGTGTGTACACAATATTTCGTATATGGTGCTTCGTTGATTTGAGATACCTCAGAAGGAAAATCGCTGCGATCTTCCTCTATCCTTGTTGTTGTGTTTCATTAATATTAATTATCATTATTATTGTTGGGAATCAAAATGAATTTATGTGATATATGGCAAATATATTTTTGGTAAAAATTACACTGAATCGCACTCTCTATTATATGTCTTCAATCTTACACCAACAACTAAGAAAAGAAATACAATTTTGTATTCTTAATCAAAAAAGAAAAAACGCACCCGCTTTGCACAAGGTGTCTGTCGGTGGTTGGGATCGCCATTACCATCGAACAATTGTTATGTAGTTGTAAATTAAAGGAAGGATTTTAATCTTGCGACAGGATAAAGGTGCCAAGACTAACGAGCATGTGGATTCTACTACTACTACTACGACCTGTAATAATAATGCAATCCCGTCTCCTAAACCAACCCAAGTCACTTTTGTCATCAAGAAAATAATACCAGAAACGAGGGTGGAGGAGGATTCTTTACTGTTGCTTCCTCCGCCGCCGCCTCCACTTGAAAATATCTATGATAGTATCGATGATTTCGTTGTACCCATCGATCCGCCCGAGCAATTCGAGAATTTACCAAAACCACCCCCAGAGACGTACATATCCGTGCTAAACATAAATCCGGTTCGTGAAGTCAGGAAAGCCGATATTGTTGCTAATGACCGCGTCATGTCGCCCCCGCCTCCACCAGTCAACCTGCATACACATCCGACTTTGGTTCAAGCTCCAATCGACCTGAAAACCAAACACCCGGATGTCGTGTTCAGAAACAAGCAGAAACCCGCGACAACGAAAAATCCTTTATCTGAAACGCTGCTCGAGTTCATTGTTAGCGATGCAGCCGATGTGCCGCCACCGCTTCCATCGGTTCCGCCCCCAAACGACGATGAAATTCCACCAATCAAAATTCCGCCACCGGTGCCGCCCAAAAAGGTGCTCCTCAAACAGACTTTATCGACGGAAACAGACACTCTGTTGTTGCAGCCGGAGATTGTTAGCAATGCAACGTTCTACAGCAAACCTCCTCCACCAATTCCCAACCAACAAAGACCACTATCCGCAACTTCTATTACTAATTCCGCTAACATTCACGACGGACACTTTAAAGATAAGGAAAATGATACTTACTATAAGCGATTTTCGCTCTATTCGAAGGTAACGTATAATTCTTTTAATTTCTCTTATATTATATCTCTCTGATAGTATTTTTTAGTTGATTTATCTATCTTTATATTATGTGCATTGTTTATGGTATGTTTCACGGATTTCTGTATTCTCTTGTGTTTAGCCGCCGCAGTCACCGAAGAACAACAAAATGTCGGTGAGTGACAAGAAGAAATTCTTCGAGAATGCCATGGAGGAAAGCCAGAAACCATCTCCTAAAGCGGGTAAGATCTTAACGAATTATTTTATCCCAATGTTCAATTATTAGTTGCATTTTTTTTTCATAAAAAATCAGTCTTTGTTTCCTCGTTTATTTAATTATTATAAATAGTTTAATGTACTTTTCTTTGTCTTCCAGAAAGGGTATTCAGTTACTTGAGCGCTGATGAAGTTGAAAGGATGAAGGCGGAAGAAGAAAAGAAAATTGCGAATTTGTCTTCATGCGATGTGGGTTCTTTAGGAGTTTTGGATATCTCCGATAACGAGTCCATAGAGTCACAACCCGCTAGGTAATTATTGTTAAAGTTTACTTATACTTAGTTCTTGTTTGCTGACAATTTATTGTGAATCATAATTGTTATTTATTTTGTAGGCCACACAGTACTATTGGTGCAATAGGCATAGTGCGAACCGCGAAGGCGGAGAGAAGACTGAAGGATAGGATGAGGGAGGACGGTTTGTTGAACGACGATGACGATTGCAATCTGTCGCCAGCTGAGGAGAGGACACTTCGTGCAGAGAAACGAGCTGCTTGGAGACAAGCAAGACTAAAGTCTCTCGAGCAGGATGCCATCCAGGCTCAGATGGTGATAAAATCCATGAGCGATATAGTCGGAACGGGAGGTGATACGCAGCTCGAGCCAACAGCAGAGAACGTAGAGGTAAGTGCGAAACAAACAATCCCCTTCATCCCCAAAACTCCCCTTATAATTTCGATTCCAATTAAGCGCATGTTGCATCTCTTAGACGTTTGATTTTGTTGTTGTTTACTTAATTGATTGATTCGACTAATCCGATTCGATTTACAAAAGAAAATCGTATGCCTAACGTTAATATATATATATCGATGTTGATATTGAAATATCTGATTTAATTGGGACGAGGAAGCGACGACGACAACAACAGTGACGTTGTCCGTCGCAGATTAAGAAGTAAACTACTAAAACTAACAGCATTTTGCATGTGTGTCTTCTCTCCTTTCTGTGCCAACACCAGTTGAGGCCGTCGAGCGCCGATTTTCCGCGGCTTGCCGTTCGTAGCAAGCCGGGCAGTACGACTGTCCGTGAGAGCGAGAAGATCGTCGGCGAAAAGGTGACCAGAAAAACAGAGGAATACGTGGACGAAGTCACCGGTGAGAGGAGGGTCCGTACCGTCGAATATGTCGAGAAACTCATTGAAAGAGAGGTATAACAGCAACAGCAAAAAAAGGTTCATCAGCATGAATACACACGCACCATTTCTGGTTAGTCTAACAACTACACTATATCTATATATATCTATGTCTTCTATATATTCATATATAGATTATTAATCAATGTAAACTAAACCAAACCTTAACTTTGCTAGTATTGTTAGTGTACTTTGTACTTTTTTTTTGGTAGCATGTCGCTTTCCCTGCATGTGCTTGGAAAGGTATTATGATTATTTAGTACAGTAGATTTAGATCTATACTTTGTGACTTCAATGTTTGAAAATATTGATCACTCTGTATATATTTTGCAAATGTATCTGAGTGATTCTCATTTCAAGAAAATCATGCGATATATTTTACTTTTGAATCACTTTCTTGTATACAAAACCAAATCACTTTATTTCAATTGAAACGTATCATAAATTGCAATTTTTTAAATAGTGTAAGCTTTAGTTTCTGTCAATTGTATCACTTGTATTCATTAAATTCTGTATTTTTTGTACATACTTAATTTCATTGAACACTTTTCTAAATTACATATTTTCAAAATGTATAATATAGAATAAATTATACAATTTGTGAATCTTATAGATCGACTTGATTTTTTTAGTAATAAACTACAATTATTTAGTTCTAAGATGTATAAGAACATGTATACATTTACCAATTTTATTAGGAACGATATAAAAAGATAAACTTTACTAAATTTAAGGCTTAAATACCTATTTATTTTTTAAATGTTTTGTGAACACCATAGAAATATTTATAAACTTAAATCAAAAATATCAAGTCGATTTGTAAATGTACACTGAAATTACACATAGGTGTTGAATAGCACTTGAGTAAAATATAAAGAAGTCATAAGCTTTTCCACTTTCAAATTTGAAAATCACTGGTAGCTTTTAGATTTAAGCTTTTGTTTTTATCGTTTTTTTTTTGTCTTGGATTGTTTTTATTATTTGTAATGTAATGTACGATTCAGATTGAACACATTTAAGACGGCTTTGTTTTGTTACCGACGATTTATAGGTGGAAACGTTACAAGAAAAAATCATATCCTTGGAATTAACGAAGCCGGACGATGATTTGCATTTATCGATCGGTCTGAACGGAAACAGCGCAAAATGCGGTGAGGAAGAGGTGGACGGGGAGGAGACAGTTTCGGAGCCGGCCACGCCTACGGTGGAGGAGGAGCGTAACTTGGACACGGCTGTGCCCAACAAAAATAAGAAGCGACGAAAACGTTCAAAAAAGGGCGGCAAAGCCCACCAACAGCAGCAGCAGCAACACTGAGAATCATTCCGTCTGGTATATAGAAATCATCAAAAAAATCTCTATTCTTTATTTCCAAGGGTATCTGGGTTTACACTACTATTATTTCGTTTCGATTATACTTATTATACATACATAATATATTTTATTTTTCACTTTCTTAAGCGTTAGGTTACTAAATTATTTTTTGCGTTAAATGTACAAAGTATTTATCTTGTATTCAAATATCTTTACGTTTGTTTTCATTCTTTCAATGTTAGTTTATATACATATATACAAAAAAAACAACAAGAACATCAACAATTATAAGAAGAGAAATCATTATTACTATTATTTAATTAATAACTATTATTATCATCAGTTTTTTTTTTCACTGTCTCTTAACTTCAATGTGGTGGTATGTGTTTGTTATTTTATACAATAGACGTTTATTATTGTGCTATTTATATAAGACGGACATTTTAAATTTTAAAATAAAAATAAATTCCGAACGAGATCATAAATATATCTAAACCTGACGACCAATTTTTTTATGAGAAGATGTTGTTTTCTATTTCAGCTTCATATTTTATAGTTTTTTCCCCATCAAAAACCTCTATTTCCTTACCACAACTGTTTCTTTCAAGGTTGAATAAGTAAATAATTGACAGATTATGTAAGTGAAAAGTATATTTTACTGCAAAAAAATGAATTTTAAGGACAATCTTCGTATCTTCATTTATCTACTTGAAGCATATACAAAGAAATGGCATAACCAAAATAATAAATTGGATACTACTTTTCAGATTGAAAGTCTAAAATTAAGACATTTTAGTAGAGATCGATTTTTCAGGACATTTTCATATATTTTTCAGAGAATATAATAATTCAAATATTGATTGGTCTACGGAAATGATTAAAAGTAGGAAATTAAATTTAATCAGAACATTGGGATTATTGCCTTATAATAAAACGTTTATTACTTTAAATAAATAAATTAATTAAAAGATGTGTTTTGATATTATTTATATACATAGATTTTTTTGTTTCCCTGATTTAATCATATTACTATGTTAAAAATTCATCAAGTCCAGATGTTGGTTTCAAAACCCACCGATTTTATTTGGTTAAAACACAAATGCAAATATTTCAATATAAATTAAGTAATTGAATTTCACATTGTAATAGTCTCCTTTTTCTCGAATTTCGATATTGAAATCCTTATTTCTTGGGGGCGATGATACCTTCTAGCTGAGCCTATGGAAAACATAATTAAGTCGTAAATAAAGTGTTCTAATGTTGCGCACCTTCAGCTGCTGATTGGTCTTCTTCAGAAATGAAATCTCCTCTGCGTGTTTTCTCTCTTCCGCCTGTCTCAGTTCCGCCGCTCTTCGATCAGCCTGCTCTGCACGCTGTCTCAGATCGGCCAACTGTCTCTCCAAATCTGTGCGTTCATCCTTCAACTGATCCACGTCCTTCTGAAGATCCGTCTTTCCTTGCTCTGATTGCAGAGCTTTACGCATCCCGAACGCGATGCTGCTGCAATACAACGCTTGGAACGCCTCGATGGTCATCCTCATCTCATCACGAACTCGGAGCAGCAGCAGACCACGCTCCGCGCAGTTAATGGTAACCTGCCTGATGACCTCGTTGAAGCACTGCGTGTACAGCTCTCGTCTGATCGGACAAATCCCAGTTTCTCTCGCCTAAAATACTTCAATCAAAATGCCGCAAGCTTAAATGCTTCTTACTTGTCTTTGCTGCAATTTCATATCGAGCTGCTCTTGCAAATTGACCACATCTTGACGCGTGGCCGGCGTCGTGGAGACGTGCTGCCTCCACGTCTGACCTTCCTCCTCCCATTCTTTCGGAGGAAGAATCGAATTCAGGATCTCTTCCGTTTCCCGTTTGGCATCTGTCACGGCACCAGTAGATTTCGCTTTGCACGGCTGAATCGATGCAATTTCCTTCCTCGACATATCATGCTTGATAACCAGTATAGGATTATCGTACTTCACCAACGTCGAGGTGTCTACCATAATACGCTCCGACATTATTAATTATTATTGTTCACTGACTATTAAAATGATTAGCCTCTGCACAATTTACAAGACGTTTCTGACAATCCTTCCTTGTTTATTATGTAACCATGGGGATAGTATCCAACATTAATCAACAACAGCTGCTTTATTTTACTAGTAATTCGATGTGTATAAACATTTTCCAGTGCAATATTTGATCGGTAAACGAACATAATCCGTTCAAAGAATGTTCGTTTCAAAAAAAAAGGTTGTAGACCTAAAATATTTCTTAAATAACTCAAGACTAAATCATCAAATATTTTATTAAAATTAGTATTAACCCATTCCAGTCCAATTTTTATTTATTCAAATCTTTAAAAGCACTTCTTTAATCATAAAAAACACAGTACTTGCTTTTTTTTCATTATTCAACATTTCCTACTGTTAAAAATACATCTAGCTTCAATTCGCATTAGTTGCTTCCAACAGTTTTAATAATCGAAAGACAAAATTGAAATTCAAAATTAATGATTCCTTTTGGAATCACTGGACTGGAAAGGGTCAACCATAACATTTTTTGTTAGATGAGTCATCCAATTTTAGAAATTTAAAAGTATATTTAATAAAATATTTGAAATGTATAGACTACAATATACAGTAAGATTTTAGTTTGCGTTCCTAGACAAGTGCTAAAAGAGGTCACGTATAGTTAGGAAAATTTAGATGTTTTGAGAAACGATATAAATTTAGATAGAATAATTCAATATTTGCAACATAAAGTCGGAGTTACATTTATGGAATTAAAAGTATTCAAAACTGTAATATTTTAGTAGAAATATACTCTTATTTATGTTCAGTAAATTTTACCACTACAATGGAACCTCGCTCAACGAGTTTAATCCGTTCTAAAATTTCCGCATTTTTACTTGTATGTGTACACAAGTTTTGAAAATGATGTAGAAGGCGCGTAATCCGGGACTTCTCTTCTTATCGTCGCTCGTTATGCGGATCATTTTTCTGAAAATTAATTTTGCCCGTTATGCGAGGTTCCACTGTATATTCTAATTCCATTTTATGATTGTAAGGCCTTTTCTAGTTTAATAGCTTTGTTTTCTTCTAGAAATCCGAAATTTTAACATTAACATTTTATTTATATTCAGAATTTTCTTTTAATTGTACGAGAATAAACTAGTTGTCAAAGAAATATATGACCTATAATTTAGTGTTCATTTAACCATAAACATTAATAAATTTGTAAATAAGTTATAGATATATATATATATATATGAAAAATATATTATTATATACATATTGCCTTTATTGTTCGTTGATTTTCATTTTTACTAAATTCTCATGCAAATTACAAAAAGTTTGGGAGCATGCATAATTATATCTTGATCGCAACCCTGTAGATGGCGCAACTTAATTCAACTTGAATAAAAATAATTTCCAATTCGAGATTTTCTAATGCATTCAATTGGTTTATGTATCACAAGATTCGATACGAAGTTGATGTGTTTGAAAAACCAAAATATAAAAGTAAAACAATAAATAAAACCAATTATTAAAAAAAAAAGAAGATTTATGCCATAGATTACAAATATAAAATAAGTAACAATTGTTGATTGATTGATATGCTTCTCAATAAATGAAAAAAAAACTATTATTGAGCAAATTATATTACAATTGATAAATTCATTCAGTTAATTTAACTTGACATTCAGGATAAATAAGTAAATTTTCTTTGCAATTGATACCAAAAAAATATATAAACAGAATAAAGAGATTATTGAACCTGAGCTTTTAATTTTTTTTTATTATTATTGTTATTTATATAATTATTTAGTTAAACTAAATTGTATACAAATCGAAAAAATAAAATAAAGAAAAACAGAACATAGAGGAAATTACACAAAAATTACCATCTAATTCCAAAATACGAAAAATACATGAAAAATCTTAACTCTCTCGTCGTCGTTCGAACCACTCTTTTTTTTCAATAATTATTATTATTACAAATAAAAATCCTCTCTTTTTCTCAATAACATAACCATTCGTATATATAATATATATAGTCGCCGTTCTCTCTCTATTTTTTAATCGTCCACTTCATTTTCTCTATACATATATTATATAAATATATACCAATATACTTGAGTTTACTATACAAATGTTTGCAAATATGAATTAGCCTTGGTTCGCTTCCAGCTCGTAGCATTCATGAACATTCCCGATTTTTAGTAATAGCATCCAATTACTAACCGATGCATCAGCAGCTGGAAACGAACCAATCTACTTTGAATGAAGAGAATATAAAAAGACAGTACCTTGCACTCGCTGCTCAGTTTGAGCCCGAGCGACGGGAGTTTCCTTCTCTCTCTCTCTTTGTCTCTTTCACCACAGACAATAAACGAAAAATGAACACAGGATGGAACCTACCTTTCAACCCTCAACAATAAAATAAAAATAATGATCAATCCTCTTCAAGGAAACCAAAATCCAACAGCTATCAAATAACAAATTTATTTCAGCTCTTCTCACCATAATTCAATAATTGTCGTTTTTTTCTCTTCTAGTAAGTTTCACCTGTGTTCATTAAACTAATCACAGCCGTGTTTTTATATAATCCATTCAAAATCGCAGTCCATATTTGCAACACTATAGTTTCGAATCGATGAAGGAAATTGTAAAAACGAAAAATAATCATAAAGAAAAATGAACATTAATGAAAATTAAAAATAATAATAATTAAACACTTTTGAACTTTAAAAATCTGCCGAATCGATTATAGTAAAAATAAGATACTTATAATGAAGGTGATGTGCTCTCAGGAAGCGGCCTCGGGATCTTCTGCATTGACTACCGCTTCCTCAGCGGAAGGTTTGTCATCAACGATTTCGTCGTTGCTGCCGCCTCCTCCTTCACCTCCTCCCAGCTCACTGGGCTCGTCGTGAAGGGGTGTCGTGTTTCCGCCGACATCGCCTTCATCATCAACTTCTATGCCGACGACTTCATTGTCCTCATTTTGCAACTGTCCCTCCACTTCTTCCTCCACGTCACCGCAGTCGTCCTTTCCGGATTCACTCAATGATGGTGGGTTGTCTTCACTGATCGAGTTGTTTCCCCATCGGCTGCGTCTCTCCGGTCTGTCGAAGCTCTGATCCGCGGATGGCTCCCCGTCGAAATCTGGTCGGAAGCGACGTGGTCTATGCCTCGATGGCAGATGCGGAGAATCGTCAAATGGTGGACCGCCGCGGTAAAACTCTGGTGGACCTCCTTCAAATCGAGCAGGAAAATTAGGTCTCATACCACCATCCATCCAAGGTCCTGCGAAACCGTAACAACTACCATTACCAACCCGAAATATAAAAGACTATCCAAATAATTATTGTAAAATAATTAATTTCACTCATCAATCATTCCACAATAATAACAATCTCAAAATCATTTTTTGATAACATTTAACAGGAATACTAAAAGCAAGCAAGGTTTGTGCAAGTCTAGCGCTAATAGATATTTAATGTTTTTCCTTATAATGTGTATCTAGAAATTGGATTATATATAGTGTGTGCAATTAATTTGAATGTAAGTCTATTTCAGTGGGTATGAGAAATGATGGCTGTATAAGTTTGCATTTCATGAACAAATATTTGATATTTTAGTATTAACGGTTTGGTTGTTCAGGAATAATTACATTCAGAACAACTGAACCTAAGTGTTAGTTTGTAAAAAGATAAATTAAATAATAACATTAATTAAATAAAGGTGTAAGTTGTAAAAAACTTATTTCAGAATTAATGGACTCTAATATGTTAATTTCTGTTAATTCTAATGAATAAAGCTAGTAATTTACCTGGACGTGGTCCTCGCATATGCGGTGGAGGTGGACCTCTTGGATGGAACATGTGTGGTCTCATCATTGGAGACATGCCTCTTGGGCCATAGCCATCCGGCCTGAACCTAGGTCCCCTGGGACCCATAAAAGCAAAATCAGGCGGAAGAGGTCCTCGTCTTCTCTCTTCGAATCTCAACGTATCCCTGGGATGTATCATAGGTCTGATTTGTCCATCAAATTCCATCGGAGGACCATCAAAATCCATTACTGGCGGTTCGTATTCGATCGGCGGACCCTCAAACTCGGACGGAAAATCATCATGCCTTCGCCTAACATAATCCATGGGTGGTTCATTGCTATTAAAAGGGAATATCGGTCGTTCCAGCAACGGTGGTGGATGGTTATTGTGTTGTTCCTGTTCTTTAAACGAATTGTCTCCGGCCATTTCGCGTAAACGATCATTCAATGCCTTCTCACGATCTCTCCTATCGTCTCTACCATCCCTAATGTCGCGTCTACTGGGATCGCCCCAACGGTTGTTCGGAATCCGATCGCGTCTTTCGCCGCTTCTACTATCCCTTTCATTCTCCCTATCCCTTCTTTCTCTACTATCTCTTCTTCCTCTTCCTAACATCCTATTCATGTCCCTATCTCTATCGTGGCTATGATTCCTACCATCACCACGTCTGAGCTCATCTAACGACCGTGTATCGCTGCCGTTGAAGCTATCGTTAAGTTTCGAATCCGATTTATCGGCGTCTTCCATCTCAATATCCATATTGTCATCATGTTGTGGTGGCATCACCAATGGGGGCGGTTGAGGCGGAAGCAATCCAAAAGGCAACAGTTGTTCGGGTATGCCGCTCACCTCGGACTGGCTTTTGTCCAACGGAGGTAACTGCGACATAGGCGGCTGCAGCAAACCTTGCCCGAAAGGCGAACCAATGCCCATCATTTGATTGGGCATTAGGCTCGGGGGCGGCACACCCATAGGCACATTAGGCATTAATCCTGGTGGAATACCAAGCAGACGGTTATTTAGCTGGAATTGCGGCACTAAAGACAATCCCATAGGTGGAGCTTGCAAAAGGCCGCCTCCTGGGACCGGCGGTGGCTGACTTGTATCCACACCCACAGGTGTTCCAATTTCCGTTAGCTGGACGACACTTGAATTCGTGTGTTCAGAAATATCATTCTTAGTAGAATCTGTTGTCATTTTGTCTTTCAGCCAATTAGGAACGGTGTCTTCGTCAACCATACCACCGTCTTCAAGTAATTCCATGTCGATGTCAGGCTTCAGTTTGGAAAACGGGATGTAGGAGACTCCCAAATCACCCTCCCAATAATCCTTAAGGTCCTTGCCCTTGACACCTTTACCTGGAGCCCATGCTAACTGAAATAATACATTTATTTGTTACAAACATTTTAAATAAAAACTAATTAAATTTACAAAAAATATGCAAAATAGAAAAATTTTAATAAAATTAATTTAATGGATAAATAACAAAAACAAATTACTTACAGTAATAGCTTTTCCTTGCATCTTGTGATTTTTCAATTTCGTCAAGCATCTTGCAGCGTCTTGGCGTCGGTGCATTACAATAAATGCACATCCTCTTGGAATAATCAAATCGATACTGACAATCTCTCCGAATTCACCGAAAGTATCAGAAAGATCTTCTTGATGTACTAATTTAGACAAGTGTCCAACCCATAGCGTAGTGCTGCAAACTACACAAAACATAGCAATTAATAGAAATACAAAGTTTTTAAATCAAATTAAATTACCGCTAAGATTGTCTTTCTTAATTGGAGGCAAACCGCGCTTTCTGCGTTCCTTCTCCTTCTCACGGTCTTTCTCCTTTTCCTTCTCCTTTTCGCGTTCGCGGTCTCGCGATCTAGACCTATACCGTCTTGATCTAGATCTGGATCTAGACCGAGATCTACGTGACCTACGATCTCTTCCTCCACGATCCCGTGATCTTTCATTGGATCGACTCCTACGACGACGGTATCGGTCACGCGATGGACTCCTAGAATCGCCATGATCGATGTCGATAACCTCAACGTCATCGTTGGTCCCTATAAATTCTACTTCCGACTCCATTGCATTGTCATCAGGCTGCGATAGCTCGTAAGGAGCTGGAGGTTTGTAACCAGGTGGCGGCTGAGAAAGATCCGTCCCAGTTGGCAGGAAAAACGCCGGCAGCGCAGGCGAATTGGTATTACTTGGTTTAAACTCACACTCAGCAGCGAAAGGCAGATTCTAAAACAAAATCTCAATAAATCCACTTTGCAACTGGTTTAACTATTAAACTCACAGGCAATGTTTGCGCCAAATGCTTATCGAATTCCTCCTCCTGTTGCTTCATTTCCTGAAGTTTGCGCAACTTCTCCAAATCATACTCAGCATGCATGGGTTGACTATTATTCATCGTTTGTTGGAGCGTTTGTAGCTGCCGTAGCACTTCAGGATTTGATAAAAGACTGTAAAATCCAAACAATAAATCTCTTTGTTCTTTTCAGGAAAGCGTCACAAGCTTTTACCTTCCAACGTTGTCAATGGCTGCGTTATTGGGCTTAGGTGATGGATTGGTAGGATCATCGTCCTCGTCGCTACCATAATCGAAGTCCAATAGTTTTCGGTCAAAGTGAACCTGTCCTTCCTGTTTTCCCGCTTCGCCTTGCTGTTGCTGTTGTCTTAGCACAAGTCTATGCAACTGCTGCAGTTGAACCAAAGTGTTCGGATCCAAGGCATTCTACAATAAATGAGAAACGCATTACAGATTAACAATTCAACACAAAATGTACTACAAGAATACAAAGCACCTTTGCCACATCATATCAAAGCAATATAGAAGCGTCATGCAATTAACATATTGTCTAAATAAGTCTGTTCGTATTTTTAATCGTAACTATAATTAATTGATGCACTTTTTCTGATTCTCCCTTAGTTCATCAAATTTTTAGGGGAAAAAAATGTTCGTAACCAAGTAACATAACTTTGAATAAATATACACATTTTCTCTCTGTTAACAAAACTATTCAATACAAATTACTAATTAGTTTCTTATTTACAATTGACAACATTTATCTTGATTTTATTAATAAATAACATTAAGTATTTTTTAAATAATTAAGTTAATAACTTCAATATAATAAATATTATATAAAACCTTCAATATTGTATGAAATTAGTTGAAACAAGGTATCTCATCTTATGAAGGGTTTGTCTTCTAATTATACAAGGTATATAACAAATATTAATTAATGCATGGTAAGATTAGATCTCATACAATAAGATTTTTATCTTTATATGCAAATATGTTTGTTTCTCGTCCATTTCACTGTTTCTATCCAATGATTTATAATTGAAAATTCATGGTAGATCCTCGAGAGAACCGTCTGTGTTTGTTACTTGGCTAGTTCATTTTATTCCCTAAAAATGTAATGCTTCGTTGCGGCACACGCCGACCGTTTGCTTTGTAATTTTTAAACTCTCCCTTCGGGCTCCGTCTCGGAGAAGGGCAACAACAAGGACAAACGTGGGGAGGGCCATAGTCATTTTTAGTACCGGATTATTAGAAATGTTCCCAAGTTGCTGGGCCAAGGCGGCCTGGTCGGCACTACATCCTGTTCCGGTCTTCGTCGGCGTCTTCTGTAGCGCTGGCGAACCTAGTTACGAACAACTTATTTAGACAATATGCCTACATTCGTGCAGTATGCCAAAAAATAAATGAATAGCATCTTCGTGAGATGCGTAAAACCATCCGCGGATTAGCAACGAGTCACACAAGAAAAAATAATAATAACCGTAAACCCATTATATAACACATATGTGACTGGTTGGTTATCCCTGGAGAGCTTTTTTATTTATAGCAAAACTAAAGAGAAATAAATCAAAACTAATTGACTCAAAAATACAATTCGTCGCGAATTTTAAACTTTATGGAACTTACCTTTGATGTCCTCCAAAAAACTTAAATTTACAACGAATTGATTTTGATTAACTATTATATTGGCAACTGGCTAAAAAAATCAAAGGACTTTTTTTCAATGAAACATTGAAATGTAGTAATGACAAGGTCCTTCAATTTTCCTCACCAAATGCAATCGATTGTAGCAATGAAATTTTTAGTAATTCATAAGACTGCTAATGACGAAACAATTGCAAAAATCGACTGCATTTACCATATTAAAACGCCTAAAAAATAATAGAACTATTGATGATTTTGAGCAATTGGCATACTGCGTTTTCCGCTTGTAAATATAGATTTCTCGCTATTTATATACTTTGATACTTTCAGTTTAACGTATGTAAACGAAATCATCAACAAACCTTTGATAATGGCCGATTGGGAGGCGATTCCGTTGTTTTGGACTGCACCAGAGGCGGCTGCTACCGAAGCCGCATTCAATTCCTTGTGGATAGGATGATTAGGGTCGGCCAGATCGAAGAGAGGTTGGATCACGTCCGGCGCAAACACTTGGTTCTTCTGCCATAGATTCAAAACCCTTATCACTTTGCTCTGTTGAATGAGATGATAGAAATACATTAGTAATGAGTTGAGTATTTTGTAGGATTTTATTGAACCTTATCCTCTGGTGGACACTGGAACAAGTTGATGAACGTCTGCTGCATGTTCTTGGCGAACCTTGGCGCGAACACATCTTTATCTGCTCCGAATTGGTGTCGGGACTGCCTCACTATGGAATCGATCACATAAAGACCAGGCACCTTGTATTCGGATTTGCACTTCAAGATGAACTTCTCCACGCTCTGCACCACGTGTTTATAAAACTTGATGGCCTTTATCGCTCCCCGAGTCAGCGCCGTCATCTTTGCCTTCGAGATGGGCGGCTTGACTTCGTACAACGAAGACAGCTATAAAGGAAGAACAATAATCAATATTTATAAAAATTCTACTTAAAAATATAAGTAATTACAATGTATATTACTAATTACTTGGACTGTTATGAACATTAATTTTCGTGTATACTCTCATAGCAATTATCATTTAAATTAATTTTCTCTTATGTAAAAGATAAAGTAAAGAAAACTTCATCTTTAGTACTAATGTACATATTTGTTTATTGAAATACATTACATAAATAATATATTACAATGGACAAAACTAAAAAATGCAATAAAAGGTTTCATAAAAGAGATATTATTCTCTCGTTTGTTATTATACAAATAAAAATTTAATTTAAACAGAAAGATAATCGTCTGGTGGTAGAGAACCAAACTCCATTTCGATTGCAACCAATGTTGTTTTTGATGATCATATTGTATGAAGATTAAGTATAGAGACATGTTAATATAGGCAACTCAATCTACATGAAAAGAATTCACTTAATTTTTAAAATTAATTTAAAATAAAGTATAAAAACGTAAATACAACAATATAATAGATAAAATTTTATATCAATTAACCTATACATTTTCATTGCATTAATCTCTAGATAGAGTATGATTTATAAACTCATTTAAAAAAAAACAGGAAGTATGAAACAATGCGATTGCAATTCCAGTGATAAAAACATTTATCATTTTGAATGAATGCGTGGGTGCTAATTCATAGGTCAATGTTTACGTAGTATTCTACAAAAAACAAACAATCATAAACGAAAAGTTGCATTTTTAGGTTCCACATTCATTGCCACGTCTTGTTTAATTCGTAAACATAAAGCAATTAAACAACGTATTAATTGGAGGAACTGAACAAACTGTAAACAACCAGAACTTGTTTGCAAAGTGGTTCCACGAAAAAGCAATAAACTTCGTACAAAAAAGTGAACAACAATTAATTGTAATGTAAATTTCTTACAGATTCAATAATCTATTATTTATATCAAGTAGTAGTTCTGTATAATTAATACAATAAGCAAAAATCAATAAAATTGTATGTTTTCATTACTATAATTCTATATTAAACATTTATATTTGATACACAAATAACACTAACGTTAAAAATGAAGTTGTATTGTTCTTGCAAATCACTTATGTTTTACTAGAATATTATGTGTTTCCATTAAGTAGTTAATGTATTAGAATGTGGAATACAATATTAATTGTATTCAACAATGGACGACTAAAATTTAACTATACTTTGGAATTATCCATTAAAATCTACTATTCAATTAAAATACTGAAGACTTTGAAACGTAATTGCATTTAAAAGCAATGTAAAACTTAAAACATTTAGCAATTATAAATATTGAATGTGGACAATGTCCACTACATGTATTGTTTTTTACTATTGATTTGTTTTATATATATATATATATGTTCCAAGCATAATTTATAATCGTAAAATTTGTTTGCACTTCAATTGTTTATCTTGCAATAAATTGTATTTTTTTAAAATAACAAAAGCAACTAGTGACTATTCGAAATATTAATCATTGTTGTGTCTTGATTTGAATGGTATTTTATTTTTCGAGTTTACAGCGTTAATCTTTTGGATTGAACGATTTAATGTGCCTGTAATTAACGATTTAAGGAGGGGAAGTATAAATTATATAACTTCAGTAGTCGCGATGCACGAACTGGGGGGTCTCCTAGTAAACAAAGGGTTGGGTGGTCGTTGCCGCCTCCTTGGGGGGCGGTTTTTGCGTGGAGAGAAAAGTAAAAGCATGCGAAAATATTGATTAAAAGGTGACGACGATGCGAGGATTTCCGGCGGAGTTGGCCGTGGGGACGCCCCGATACGAAACAAAAAAACATCGCGCGGCGTCCCCGGAGCTTCCGCCCAAGGATTATTCGAGGAGGATTCACAGGAGGGGGCCTTGTGCAGGAGCAAGGTTGAGTTCCTAAGGAGCTCTCTCACACATACATACCTCGGCATTGAACGACTTGACCGCGTCCATATTTTTTCCACCAGTAAAATTGATCACCAATAGACCCACCAGGTCCTCCTGGACAGCACTCTAAAACTCTTCCCTTCTGCTCCTTGTCTCCGTTTTCCCTTCCTCTTGGAAACGATTCAATTACTCTTTTCGGCTTGCCTTCATCACACAATCAACTCAACGCAAGCCATTTTACTTCGGCGAGCTTGCCTCGTCCAATGACGTTACCAGCGCAATTGGTAGCTCTGACCCATCTTGAATAGTTACCAACATTTAACAACAACCATCGCCCATCTAGAAAACAAGCAATTGAACACTAATTTCATCAAAATAACATATTAATATTAGATTTACCAAATTATTTAACTTAAATTTAATCATTAATTGGAAATAATACAGTTAAAACTATTTAACATTAATGTTTACATGTAAATATGGTGGCCTAACATCCAACGTAACCTGCAAAACTATTTAAAAACCCATTAAAGCAACAAGAATGGCTAATGTTAAACCGATGCTTTCTCTAAAACAAGTAATAGACCTGTTAATTATACCTTGAATTACTTTGAACAATTTTTTTTTTAGTTTATACTGAGACAGGAAGTGCTGAAATTGTACCGCAAGATATTTAGAGCTATCAGAGAAGTTCCTGATGAAGTACACAGAAAGGAACTGAGAGACTGGGCACGCAGCGATTTTAGAGCCCAATCACACCACACTGACGAAATCACTATCAAGATGATGCTTAACTATGGAGAAAGGAGCTTGAAAGAACTGCAGACAAGCCTCAATCTGGCCAAGTGACTTTATTTTAAGTTTAGATAAATAGAGTGAATGCAGTGTATCATTAAAAGTATTGTAAATAGTAAAGTAATTGCCATAGCTATGGGTTTTGAGTCTTTTGTGAACATTTGTGCCAAACAGTGGATTATATGTTGTCCATCCATGAATAAGCAAGGTATCACATTGATCAAAGCCAATCCAAATGAAATCACTATCAGGTACTCTAGAAATTTCAGCATTACATCTGGATGCAGGTGCTTTGATAAACTGTACTTGGGGATGTAAGAGGATATTTTCACAGTCAGAAAAATATCAGATGGATGGCCAATATAAATGACTGGTGCCTTCCCAACCCGAGAAATCTTGAAAAGACTGGTGTTGTTCTCTAGCAGTGGCTTTAGGCAATGCAATTCATCAGGGCATTCAACACTGTTCTTGCAGTGATGCTGGGAAGTTTCTATAATAATTCTAGCTGGTAAACAAGCATGTGGCGGGATCTCCATAACTCCGTCCGTCTTCTCAATGTACTCGAAGCAAATACCATCCTCCTTTCCATGTGGGCAACAATCGAAAGCGGTATTAGTTTGCCTCAGCTGTACGCTCTCATCCAAATTGTGCACCATATCCGTTTCAACGCAATATCCAATTTTCTCATTCCTCGCTTGTATTAAACACATCTTGAAGTCATATTCATTCTTGACTTGGCAATTGTTGATCCTTGTTATAATGTCGTCCAATTCGAATCCCTTACCTCCCAGCAGAGGAGAGTTTTCACTTAAATAAGTTACCTTAACACCTTCATCTATTCTGAAAGCTGCCGAATAGCAAAAAGGTAAAATACTGTAAATCAGATATGCCACAGCAATTAGCACTAAATTATGCCAAATCCCTGCAGTTAAAATCTTCAGTCTCTTCCACACATTCAAAGAGTTCAAGTTATCAGAGCTTAAATTAACATAAGCTACTGGTAGGACAAAGAATAAATTGAATCCAACATTGATTATATGCACATCCTCTATAACTGCTGCCAGGGCATGACCAAACTCATGGACTATGGTGCAAATAATAAGGCTCAGACTGTAGTAACCCAATTCAGAGCTTGGTGTGTTCACACCTGGTATTATAGGTTCGATGATCAAATTTTCATCATTGTTGCTCAAGAAAAGACTTTGCCCAATTCCAAAGAGCAAAAGCAATACGGACAGAGGGAGCAGTGTTAATGTGATGTAGAGTCCTAATAGGAACCAGTTGTTTAGGAATCTGGTCTGGTAGCCACATCTCAAGAAGAATCTGTTGAAAATTGTTGTAGTCCATTGGATTTGGAAAAACTTTATTTGTAGCCCAGTCCCCTTCAAATACTGTATATATGGATAATGCATACAACTCTACAAACATAACAAAGTAATCTTATGAAATATTTACAGAAATTAAACAAGAATTACCTTAAAGAACATATCAAAGAACATTAAAATTGCATAGAAGCCTGTAGTTAAAATTAATATTATCGTAATATCCATGATTCTACAGCTCCAATTATTAAATAATACAGATATTAAGGAACTCACATATATATCTTACTAATTTCTAGGTAAAATTTAAATTTTTTAAGGTTAATGTTATTTTTTTTATATTACTTCGCCATTCATGAACTGATCTAGACAATATTGTATTTACATATTTTTTAAAACTAAACTATATAGTTTACTTTTCTTATGCCATTTTTTTTTTAAAGTACATGTTACAAAATCACAAAGTTGACAATGATTATAGTTAATAGTAAATAAAATATTTATTTACTATTCATATTATAGTTTGTATGTAATTAGTAATCATTATTTTGTAACATTTGTTACAGATTTGTAATAAATAAAATATTTTCATATTAAAAAAATTGATAACATTGCAATATTTGTGTTGGTTTGGTTGCATTTCAATATTTTTTTAATGTTGATACAAGCAAAGTTTATTACATTTGCTTCTGCAACTGGTGGAAGCTCCAAATCAGTTTACATAAGTCGTTTTAAATAATGAAACCAAAATATTTAAAAAAATCTACTTTTAACATATTATAAAGGTCCCTATTTGTCACTAATCACAATTTTTTAACTGATTTAAGTGCTTTCAGTAATGACGAATAAATATTACTTTACATTACTTTAAAGTTAAAAATTATATATGTTATTTTACACATGTGTTATCATTTACAAATTTGAACATATTTGAGTTGCTTTATATAATGTAACAAAAATATGTCCAATAAAAAAGCTATAACAAAAATAAAATCTAAAAAATCAATCATAGCAATTCCAACATTTCCAATTGTTAGTAATCAAACGAATCAACAATTACAATATAGTGGAACCTCGCTTAACGAGCACCTCGCTTAACGAGCATTTCGCTTAACGATTAAAATGAATTGTAACAAAAATGACTCGTTTAACGAGCGACGTTTCGCATTACGAGTGATGATGAGAAGAGCAGTCCCGGATTGAGCGCCTGCTACATCATTTTTAAAACTTGTGTACACATATTATATGTATTTTTGAATATGTTTTACTATACGAGTATTTCAGTATACGAGTAAAAATCCTGAATTTTTGGAACGGATTAAACTCGTTAAGCGACGTTCCATTGTAAATAATATTTAATTTAATCTCAATTGATAAAAAGCTGTTGTAAAAGTTCTGTACTTTCTTATATATTATAATCATTAAAATGAAGTGAAAACGAAAGCTACGAACACAATTCAAAACTAAAAAATAACTCATCGCATATTATACAGTCCCTATCTTTATTAATTGAAATAATCAAAAGATACAAAAAATTATATTTAATTTAATCTCAACTCAATAAATAGCTTTTATAAAATACTTAAGACATACTTACAGGACAAAACTACCCGATTTTATTGAATATTTATAATAATTTATTTATTGTTATTTATATGATATAAGTTTATGTGTTGCCATTTATTTAAGCAATGAAGCAAAATTATCTAAGCTTAAAATGTTAAATTATTGAACCAAACCGCTAATACTACATTTAAACTTAAAAATGCTAGACAAATATAACACATAGTAGATATTATTGCTCAAATCATTATTAATCGCACAGATAAAAAATTACAATATATTTTCATTAATTTAATCTCAACAGATAAAAAGCTTCTATAATATACTTAAGATAACCTAAAAATGAAAGCTTCTGTATTTTATAGAATATTTATAATAATTTATTGATATTTACACTATAACAAGTATTTGTATTATCATTTACAATTATTTGACTTTTTTAAGTAATGAAGCAAAAATATCTACCGCTAGTACTATATTGAAGCTTAAAAATGTCAAACGAAAGTTACCAACAAAAATAAAAATTTGAAATGAAACTTATAGCGGATCTAACTGATCCGTTCTGAATTGCACGGATCAAAAATTACAATATCTGCTATTTAATTTAATATCAACAGATTAAAAGCTTCTATAATATAGTTAAAAATTGAAACTAGTGTATTTTATTGAATATTTGTAATAATTTATAAATATAACAAGCATATGTATTATCATTTACAATTATTTGACTTTTTTTGTGTAATGAAGCAAAAGTATCTACCGCTAGTACTAAATCCAAGCTTAAAAATGTCAAACGATAGCTACCAACAAAAATTAAATTTTTAAATGAAACATACAGCAGATTTTACTGATCCGTTCTTAATCGCACGGATCAAAAATACAATATATTTTCATTAATTTAATATCAACAGATTAAAAGCTCATATAATATAATCCTATGTTACTTAAAAATTATAACTATTTTATTGAATATTTATAATAAATTATGGATAGTTAGACTATAATAAGCATTTGTATTATCATTTACAATTATTTGACTTTTTTAAGTATTAAAGCAAAAATATCTACCGCTAGTATTATATTGAAGCTATATTAAAAACTCATTTAATATATATGAACATTACTTAATAGTTCAAACTACTCTATTTTATTGAATGTTTGTAATAAGTTATGCATATTTATATCAAAAGAGATTTTGTATAACCATTAATAATTATTTAACTTATTTAAGTACTAAAGCAAAAATATCTATCGCCAATACTAAATATAAGCTGGATCGTACGAATAAAAAAGTACAATATATTTCATTTAATCGCAATCTATAAAAAGCTCACATAATATAATTAATATATATATATATAAACATTACTTAAAAGTTAAAACTACCGCTAATACAATTTTTTTACTTATTGAAGTACTATCATTCAGGAACAAAGCAAAAATGACTACCGCTAATGCAACATTTTTTCTTATTGAAGCACCATACAGAACTGAAACTAAAATTTCTATCGCTAATACAAAATTTTTACTTATTGAAGTACCATACAGAACTGAAACTAAAATTTTTACCGCTAATGCAAAATTTGAACATATTGAAGTACCATACAGAACTGAAACTAATATTTCTACCGCTAATACATTTTTTTACTTATTGAAGTACCATAAAGAACTGAAACTAAAATTTCTACAGCTAATACATTTTTTTTTACTTATTGAAGTACCATTCAGAACTGAAGCAAAAATTTCTACCGCTTATACAAAATTTTAACTTATTGAAGTACCATACAGAACTGAAACTAAAATTTCTACCGCTAATGCAAAATTTCAACTTATTGAAATACCATACAGAACTGAAACTAAAATTTCTACCGTTAATGCAAAATTTTTACTTATTGAAGTACCATTCAGAACCGTTAATGCAAAATTTTTACTTATTGAAGTACCATTCAGAACTGAAGCAAAAATTTCTACCGTTAATACAAAATTTTAACTTATTGAAGCACCAT